TTACGCTCTCACAGACATGCCAGCCGAATTTCAAAAGGCAATACACCTCACATTTACGAGTTACGAAAACATATTCACATACTTATGCGACATACTCATTGTAACAAAATAAATGATGAAAACTTACCAAAATCATTCAATTCCAAAAAATGCAACCTCGCGTGTGATCAAGTCAATTGGCTCGGCTATCATGTCAATAGCCAAGGCATTGAGCCACTACATTGAAAGACAGACGCCGCAACACAAAAACTCAGATCAACAAAAAATTTCCAAAGAACTAAAAAGTTCAATGAGCTCAAAACAACAGCATCTTCATTTGGGTCATTTGTGTCAGGGGCCGCCATAAAGAAAATTACAGATGAAGTTTGGGTGGCAATATTTTACGCTTCCAGAGTTTCAAGAAAAATATTCCAGAAACGACCTAGAGTTGTTGGGGTTGTATGGGCAGGAGAATTTATTTAGATCGCATCCGTCCTTGGCTGCAAACCTGCTCTCGATGGTTTTGAACAATATTATAATGTTAGTACCAATACTGTTAGAACACTATTATACTGTTTTATGTTTCACCGAAAAGTCACTGTTCGTAAAAAAAGTAGCGTCCAAAATGCATAGTCTATAAATTTAAATTTTCTCCGTTAACAGCAATGAATCTGATGTAGTGTTATTGAGCTGTAGAGGATGTTTCGCAAAAATTTGTTCAAAACTGACAAAACTATTTTTGTTCCAGTGTCTTTTAAGAGTTGGATTTCCAGACCGGTATTTTTTCCCCAACGAGATGTTGTTACAGAAGAAAATACACATGTATCGTTGGTTCACATGGAGGCTGATCAATTTTATTTCAAAATGATCACTTTCCTCATTGCTACAGTCTCCTTGAATGTCATTATCACTAGTAATGAGGAGCTGGTAGGCTCTACAGAATGGTCGGCAAATCAGATTGATAGTCGTTATTTTGGTTGAAAACCTGGCCTCTGTTCAACCTGTCACGGATTGAGATCCTTCATTGTATCCTAATATATGCCTGACCATTCGCTGGGGATTTTTATTAATAAACTTTCTGTCTTCTCTTGACCTAATGCAACAGATTTGATAATTTCCACTAGTTCACCAACCACTAGTTCACCAAACAAATTAAATTGGTAATAAGCAGAAGACGCAGGAGAAGATAACAGAACCCACGAACTCAGCAGTCCAAAAGAAGATGGGAACAATGACCACTTAACAGTAAACCAGGTGTGAGAATTAGAAAATTAAGTAAAAATATAAACAAAGAAACACATACAACAGGTAGCCAGAAAAACATTAGGACTCGCCATAAAAGTGAAAGAACCAATAACATTGGAAAAAAATATAAAACAGTAGACGGGAAAATTTTGAAATATAAGCCATGCACGGCTTGGGTACAGACACGAGGCAAACAACGTAGTTGGTTAGGAGCAGTGGACTTGCTTTCGTCTTAAATCCAAAAACTTCTGGACCATGCAGAACCTCACGACTGAGTGATTATGTTGCAAACAAAAAAGCAGGACGTACAGGTCCATGCTTACGCTTTTTATTCATCGAACAACCGAACGCGCCCCAGCATCCGATGTTCACGGAAGATTAGAAGATGGGACTGCGCAGGAAACTGTCCCGAAAGGAACAACTAACCCGCAGGGACTCCGAGTCAGAGATGAAATGGAAAAGTCAAACTGGCAAACGTACGGGAGGGAAGCAAACTCCAAAAAAAGCAATGGGCATGACCATCAAAAATTCAGAGATTAAGAAAGCGGTGGACCCGGCACCATCCATCTTCGAGCGGGGACTGGTTATAGACCAAGTCCGAGAACACGACACCCTCCCCCAAACGCATCGACGTCAACAAGACACCCCCACAGCCACATCCAGCCCAAATTTTATAACAAAATTGACACGGGCGAGACAGTCAACGTTGACTTAAAGTATTGGTTAACCCGATCCCAGTAAACAACATAGAGTGACAAAAAAAATTCACCACAACATCATCTGAAAAACCAAATTGCGCCTCCCCAAAAAGTATATAGCAAACCTAGCAGCAAAAAGAGTTTTATTCATGAGATTGGATTCCAAGAAAACTCATATGAATTTGTGATTTGCCTAAAAAACTTAGAAACCATCAAACCCAGGATTCAACTGAAAATATTAACATAGTGGACCTCGTATATTTGAAGGAAAGCCCGACGAAATAGAAGAAAAACCTGATATAGGATATGGCAAAGAAAATAGAGAAAACGAGAAGAATCAGGAGAAAACGGCGGCCCAAGGCTAGTTCACCACAAGAGAAGAGCGCGAGAAGCAACAAGACGAAGAGGACGAAACAATCAAAACAAAGCAAGGCGAGGAAACGAAAGAATCAGCCTGAAGGGAACAGAATTAACAATACTAAGTCCCACGGGGACTCAAAACTCAATATCTGAAAACTCATTAAAAGAAGGACTCAAAACTCAATTTGATGCAATAGAGGGGAGTGTCATCCGGCCCGATTGGCATTAACCAGTTGATGTACTTATTTTTATATCTCCATAGTTGTACTGCAGATCAACTGACCTCGAAAAACACGGCCAGACCGTAAACATGGAGCATAAAATGCTCAGAGCAACGACTAATACATTATCTTTCAATAACTTTTTATTCTCGTCTGATTTACCAAGTTAGCTGCCAACCCGCACGGATTCTATAGTTACTCATACCATACGTAGAGGTATGAAACAATTTATGAAATAAAACTTTGTTTTGAAGCAGTAATGATTTTTTCTTTTCAACTTGAATTTAGACTTTAAATCCAATGCTGTCATGAATTAGAAGTTCAATTGTGCTCTTTGCTTGATGCCTCATGCTTGAAACATAAGTGTATGAATCATGCCTCGATACTTCATGCCTTGAATCATAACTTGATTCTTGTTATCTTTTTGAACTTGAACGCCAATAAAAGCAGTCATGATTCCAAACACGAATGTTTCTGTTCAGTCATATCTTCATTTGACTCGAGTCTCAATTGATAATTAATGGAGAAACTTCGGTGCGGGTTGAAGTTCATGAAAGGTTATTTTTAACGCTTCGCAGTTTAAAAAATTTACATATCACTTCACATCTAACTCCTGTTTTCAGTTAACATTATTCATGAAAAAAAAATTAGTTGATCAGTAAAACCCCACAAAAAATAAATAGCTAAACTCCTTTTCAAAACTCCGGAAACCTCTTCTTTTAACAAAATTGATATGAACAAAATTCTGTAAACAGTTGCTTCAACTGCGTCCAAATTTTACTTAAATAAATACTAGTATATGTAGAATTTTCCAGCAAGAATTTTAACATGGTTCGTAGAACAATTAACTCTGCCGAATTTTCTAAATAACATCATATAAATTTAATTTTTAGCCTTTAAATGATCGAGGTTTTGCTTATCTGATCAAAGTCTCGATAATTACCGAAAAAAAACATCAAAGTCGTCCTGTATTTTTTCGACAGGCAAATGAGTTAAGATGGGACTGGTTAACTCATAGAGTAATTTCGGATAGGGTACACCGTCTGCTCGTCACGCTATCTTATTTTTCGGCCGGATAGATTCGTGCAACTTCTTAGTCTAATACCGATCCTAATCCTACTCTTATATCTACTAGTCTCAGGGTGTTTAACTAGTCTCTGCTAGGCTCAAAAGATCTAGAGTATACTGGCTTATTGCGGCAGCTGAAGTTCTCTTGGAGAGGCAACTAATTTCTAAGTTAAATTCAAATCTCTCTGGTGCTGAAATTACAAGTAATTTCAGCACTTACAAATAAGTGGGTCATTAGTTAGATGGATTATGATTGGTTAATATTAATAATTTTACAGTGGTAAAATATCCTATTTATCCAATTATAAAATGTAGTTTAGATCAGGTTCCACCCATCCGGGTTTTACAGAGTTTTTTAGAATTATCTTTCTGCAATTTGAAGGATGGATGATGAACGTTGGTCTGGCGAACATCATATTCTTGTCCGGTTCCTCTTGGAGAAGAAGTTCCAGGACGCTGGAATTAGGGACATGAATTTGTTACGTCGTCTTTTGACAACGACTGTGATCCCCAATGAAATCAATCTGATTTCAAAATGGTTTGCTATGACGGGTTTTTCTGTATTATGTAGAGAACTTGTTTTGTGTGCAACCTCGTCTGGGAATGGCGTGAAGATCGTGTGTGGAAGGGATGCCTCGTAACTCGGATCTGTACGTATACTTGAACATCGAGGTGGTCATTGGTATAGTTCAATGAAGTCCTTTTCTGCGAAGTCAAGTCGTACTCTAAATCCTTTGAGTTGTGATTGTGGACGGCATTTCGGTTGTGCTTAGCCATTCTTTTGTTCGAGTATGATGGGATCATCTAGTCTTTGGATTTTCGTCTTTCATCTTATTTTCGGCCGGATAGATTCGTGCAACTTCTTAGTCTAATACCCATCCTAATCTTACTCTTATATCTACTAGTCTCAGGGTGTTTAACTAGTCTCTGCTAGGCTCAATAGATCTAGAGTATACTGGCTTATTGCGGCAGCTGAAGTTCTCTTGGAGAGGCAACTAATTTCTAAGTTAATTTCAAATCTCTCTGGTGCTGAAATTACAAGTAATTTCAGCACTTACAAATAAGTGGGTTGTTAGTTAGATGGATTATGAGTGGTAAAATATCCAATTTATCCAATTATAAAATGTAGTTTAGATCAGGTTCCACAAAAATCTGTCGAAAATAGTCTTCTTAAAACAAGCAGTACCAAAGAAGAGGTGTGAGCGAATCGAAATCATCGGCTAAAGACCCTCCGCTTCCAGCAACCCCCCCCCCACCCTCTAACGCCGGGAGGGACCATATAAATAACATCTGAGGGCCAGAAAACGGGCCTTGTTGGCTTAATGGTGTTCTCCCAAACGATTCTAATTTGTATTTATAAATTTTTATAAATAACTTTGTAACTAGATATCGTTTGGAAACAATTTCTTATGATTATTATTATCTCTTAATGCATCCGTCGTTTTCAAGCCGAAGTAACAAGGGAGATCCTCGACTGATAGTGATTACGCCAACTTACAACAGACCTAGCCAGATTCCAGATCTAATAAGGACCAAACAGGCTCTGCAGCTGGTGTCTAACTGTGACTGGATTGTGGTTGAGGACGCAAACCAGACCAACCTCAGGGTGATGAACTACCTACAGGATTACTCAAGTGGGTAAGGACTCAAGTTGATAATTTATGTTCTTAAAATCAGCTTCGAGGTTTAATGCAATTGAGTTTCAGCGGTCAAATAAGGTGGTAGCAAGCCACTGTCAGCCGACACGCGACTATGAAAAAAACAGCCAATATGCAACTTCAAAATCAGTCCAAGGCGACGAAAACCAATAATTTCAATCAATAATTTTTTTGATAGCAAAGTTTTTTCGATTGTTTTGAGCAATAATTGTTTTTGACTGCCTTAACTGTCTGTTTTTTTATTTCAACCTACAAATGGCTAGACGACGAATTTGTTTAGCAAAAATTTATAAGTGAAAATTTTCGTCATGTTGTTTGTTGATGATGTCGCAAAAAAAATCAATTCTAAAAAAGTCAATTTTTCAAAATATTTTAGTGATTTTTTCTACACTCACGTTTTGACAGAGGAAAAATACAGGGAAATGAAAGGCAGAACTCAGAGAAACATGGGAATACAACTAGTAGAACAATTATACGCCAAAGCCGAATCCCAAAAAAGGAACCACGCCGAAACGAATCCATTCCGAAATGCCGTGGTGTACTTTGGCGACGATGATAACAGCTACGATTCAAAGTTTCTCGATCTTTTGAAAGGGACCAAACGGCTTTCATTGTTCAACGTTGGACTCATAACAAATGCGCTGTTAGAAGGACCACTTACTGAAAACAACAAAGTTAGTTTTTAAAAACTGAAAACTGGACCGACATAAAAGTTACCGGCTAACAATATTTTCGGCTACCTTAACTTACTTTTGCAAAACTAGGTTTTTGCATGCAAAATAAGTTCATTCGCCCTGATCAATTAATTTTGTTTATGGTATTTTTTGCAATTTCAGTTTCATATGTCTTTAGCTCTTTTTTGTCGATAGCTAACATCTGGAGGCACTTAAAACAGATCTTCAGGTCAACAGCGTGTGCTCCCAATCTATTTTTAGCCAGTAATTTTGCCTAATTTTGTTTTATATAAAATACCGTTAGATTAAATTGGAAACAACTTATTATGATCTTACAACCTAAATATCGGCTATTGATCCAAAATTTGCATGCATTGTTTGGTATAAAACTTGGTATAAAAGGAATCTTCGCCAGACTCAAGGACAGAGAGTTTTCAAATGCTTAAAAATTTAGCATTGAATTTGTAAAACAATGATGTCGTATCCCTAAAACCTGGAACATTCGAGATTGTTTAATGTTTAGGAAACGTTTTCAAATATTTTTTTTTCTGAATCCCCGGCTTGACAAAAAATGCATATCATGCAAATTTAAACTATGAAAAAAACTGCTTATCTTACACTTTCCTACAATTCAAGGACCGGAAAAAATTGTATGAAAAGAGCCAGACAAGCATTTTGTCTATCCTATGAATTTTTATAGATTTTTGCCAATTTCTGGAAATTAAATAACCAGCTTTTTGCTGTATTTTTATCGAAATTTTAATGAAAAGAGCAGAAGCTGTTTTCTGTATAATGAAATTGTATGACAAGCTTTTTTTCTGTTTTTCTTTTATATGAAATTGCATGACAAGCGTTTTTTTCCATAAATGAAATCACAATAAGTTTTGTGGTCTTCTCTGTTAACCGGCCCAAAGTAGCCAAATCGCCACATTGAGCTTCCGTTGTTAATGAAAATCTGGATTTTCATTTACTGTTAAAAATAATTTCAACCATTGCGGTTTGAGAACTTTGATGCAATTTTCAAAAAAAGAAAAAACACAAAAAGATCAGTTTTGGGCCGTATAGCAGAAAAGACACAATTTTGTATGAAAATTTTGTATTTGACCCGAAACACATTAAATTTACTACGATAAATTTACTGAATCGGACTACGTTATAGACACAAAATAACAATACTTGCGTGCAAGTTTTTTTCATAAAATGCATGTTTGAGCACAGAAGCAATCAAAAAGGGAATAAAATAATCGCCTCAAATTACTAGTTTGTCTACAAAAAAGCATATCATATAAATTCTAAATATGAAATGTTCAATTGGCGCATTTTTGTCCAAAGCCAAAATGGCTCTCATGTAACCAAAATTGCCACCAATTTGTTTTATTTGGTTTTTATTTGGGTACCAATCTAAGATAATTTTTGAAAAAAAAACTTTCGATTAAAAAAATGCTTGTCTTACTTATTTCTTCTATGAAAATTTGTATGATAAGCAAGTTTGTCATAGACTCCATATATAAAACCTAAAACTGTCTGATAGGCATTTTTCTTATATGGAGTCAACCTTGCTCCTAAAATCCAAAGTCGCGTCGAGAGTTTGAGTGTGGAAAGTCTGGGCATGAGTCGATCTGTGGGTTGCGATAGTCTAGATATAACAAAACTTTGTCACGACAGTCGACAGTCTGCACTGTTAATTAGGAATTCGATCAGAGTCTTCCGAATATTCACTCGATATACATAACAATCGAGTCTTCTATGGTATCTACAGAAGACTTACCACCCTTATAAGTAAAAGCAGTAAACATCACTAGAAGGTTCTTACATTTCGAGTTTTGCTGCTTTTTATTTGCCCCAAAACTCGTCAAATTTAGTCTGCTGAACAATTACCACCACAATTATCTCATAACAATTACCAAAATTAGCACCTTTCTTGAATCCGATACATTTAGATCGATCCGATACATTTAGCAGCTCTACTAATCAGGGCTAGAGTTTTCGACCCCAGTGGGGTTTATTAATCAAAAAGCACTCAAAAATCTTGCTACTTACAGTTTTTTGGGAGAGCATGCGTTATAAACCCGCAGCTATTTTTTAAAAGTTTTTTGCTTTTCATAAATCCCAAAATGGTTGTAGGAATCGGAAGAAAGTTTGATCTGGGCATTGAACACATTTTCTAGGCTAAAAAACAAAAAAGCTGAAGGCTGTAAATGAAATGAAACGTTTACATTAGCCTGAGAGAAAGGGCGATTTGTTGCTTGTGGATGACTGCCTGTGGCTGACAACTTTTTTTCTTTGAAACGTCGAACATGTTTTTTAACCCCACTTGAATCGTTTTTCCGATTCCTACATCCTGCAAAATTAAAACCTTATTAATGAAAACAAAAAAAAGAACATTTGAGGCTTTGCTCCCATTGCTGGGGATTAATAGCGCATGCCCCTCTCCCCAATTGTTAGTAGCAAGATTTTTGTGTTTTTTATGGTTAATAAACCCCACTGGGCGCTGATTCTAGCGCTGATTAGTGGAGCTGCTATATATATCGGATCTACCTAACAATTAGCCCTCTTTCAAAAAGGGGCTAATTGTGGTAGTTGTCAATTGGTAAGGCCCTAAGTGTTCCGACTGCCCATTATTGGGCCTCGAATAGTTTTTTGTAAATGAATTTTGACAAACTATCGAAGTAAGTCTAATAATAACAAGTTTTAAGTGTAAAAATGTGAGTCCTGTATGGAAACAATAAGACCAATTGGTTTACCTCAATTCAGTTCAGAATAAGAATGTCGTACGGCACAATTCAGTTAAGTGTTAAGTATAAAACGAGCCTGACGCCTGATTGAATACTATACCCGGAGTGACAAAATTTTGTTCCAATTTCCGTTCCACCAATCAATTTTTGTTCACCAATCGAATTTAATGGATTTTAGTGCCAAAATTTTTGATTTTTCTAGAGTATAAAACCTGTATATAATCTCCAAAACATCTGAATATGGTCAGTAAAAATTTTTTGTTTAAAAAAGTAATTATAATCTGTAAATAATCTATAGATAATGTAATCTGTATAAAGTTTGAAGATAATTTGTATAAAGTGTGTATGAAATCGCAACAATTTCAATTTTGACCCACTAAATGATTTCTCAGTTTTGCAGTTTTGTAGTTGAGGAGAGATTTTTGCCGCAATTCACGTTTCAAAAAATCCTAAGTGCTTGGAGACTAGGGTTCCCGCTGTAAATTGTTTTTTTTTGTGTAAAACATCTTCAAATACCCTTAATAGGATTATTGCATCGACAGAAAGCATCGACTGAAAAGTTTACATTATAAGTTTGTTCCAATTTACTCATATTATCTGATAGGCAAAAAAGTTTAGAAAATCAAAATAATCTGTATATAATAAGTATATAGTCTAAAATCAGAAAACATATAAATTTTATGCTATCTTATTACAGTGTGTTTATAATCTGTATACAATCCGCATAGAGAAAAAGAAGTTCAGAGTCCTAATAAGACTCAAAAATCTTAAGCCAGTCCCATGGGGACCCTATAAACTCAAACAACTCAAGCCCCAAGTGGATACAAAACTCAGTATTTCAAAATTTTTATTTCCAGGGGGATGTCATTCGGCCGGAATGGCAAAACCATAACGTAAATACATATACATTTATATTTATATGTATATATATAAATGTATATATATTTACGTTATGGTTTTGCCATTCCGGCCGAGCCGTATGACATTCCCCCTGGAAAACAAAATTTTAAAATACTGTGTCTTGTATACGCTTGGGACTTGAATTGCTTGAGTTTATAGAATCCCCATGGGACTAGTTTGAGTTTTTTGAGTCCCACTAGGACTTTGAACTTCTTTTTCTCTATGCGTTGTCTTCCTCGGAAAGTTTGATTTTACTCTTTTTGTCTGTCACCTTGTTTTCTGCCGTCTCCTTGCAATTGTTTTTTTTCTTGATTTTTCGCATGTTCTTTATTGCCTTGTATTTTTCTCTCAAACGTGTCATTCGTCTTCCTATTCTCTTGGTCAATGACTAAAAATATCTTTTTTTGTTTGGGCTGATTTTCTCTACTTGGACTTAATGTTAGAGGTACTCAGTCAACCACGTCTATATTTTCGTTGCTTTAAATTGGTTAATAGTTCAAAAAATTTCACTCATGCCTGGAAATCCGGCAGGTTTTCGAGAAAACCCATCTCGTGTATTAAACTTGTAATATTCGAGTTGTTCCCCTCAGTGTGCTTGAAGGTTGGTGAACCAATGCCGTACTATTTTTTTCTTTACCTTGACTCGTTTCTGATGAAATTCGTCGAGTGCGCTGATTGGTATCGAGTTGCCTATTGCTCCTGCCAATGCCGATTGACGCAGGTTTTTTTTGTTGATACAGCTGAAGTTTTCGGTAGTTGGGGAGGCGTGTTATTCTGATTTAATCTCCTTGGAGATGGAGCAGTGTTCTCAGATGTTGAGGATAAATTTTCACTTGATGACCTTTGTTGTTTCAATGTCGATTCGTCTCCTCCGAACGGAATTGCATCTCTCGTGTGCGGGCTTTTCTCCTGCCCTCTTTCTTGTTTTTTTTTCGGGCTCTCCTGTGTCTGTTCCTGCTTCTCTTTTCTGGTTAGTTGTTTTGATAGTCCTGTTTGTGCATCCTTCTTGTATCCTCCTCGTCTGTTCCTACTTATCTTTTCTGGCTAGTTGTTTTGTTAATCCTCTTCTTGTGTCCTCCTTGGCATTCCTTTGTCCTCCTTGCCAGTCCTCATTTATGTTAACTCCTCATTTATGTATTTCTTGGGGTCAACGCGTCAACTTGTAAACTTCCTGTACCTCTATGGTAATGTCCTTTCGCGTTTTGGTTTTGTTTCGTGTGACAACGTTTTCTTCTTGAGGGCCAACTCAATGTAGTCATGTCTTGTTTGTGGGGCGGATTCGTTCGAATGCTGGCATTTTTCCGGTTTGGGTTTTCCATCTTTTTTGATTGTGGTGTGTTTTTCATTTGTTTGATAATCTGAGATTTTCATTTGACCATTTTGTTTTTTTATTAGCATTTGTCCCACGTCTTAAACTTCCATTTTATCATTTGTGTCGACCATTTCTGACTATTGTGTCTGAGGCAATTATGTCTGATTAGCGTCGCTGATTAGCGTCGCCCAGCGCTTGTATGTCGTAGTTATGGCGCTACATTTATGCCATCGTGAGTCTGAGAGGCTTTCGTTTCGGTCTGATTCTCTCAGCTGATTGATTTTTGTTTTGTTTCTTCTTGGGTTCCCGGTTGGGCTATTTTCTTCTTCTCGACTCCTCGCGCTATCAGAATTCGCAGTCCATCTTCGAATTTTATAATAAAAACTTTTGTCTCCTCAGTTTTTTGCTGAGTTGTTTTTTAAATTTATAGAGTTTTATAATCTATGCTAATTTGATTTTTGCATTCGACCGGCATCCAACTAGTTTTCTAAGCGAATGTATGGCTGCTTTTTAGATATTTTGATAGTTTTCGAAATGTCCGGAATATTAAATTTCACTTGAAATTTTGATATGCTTGTTAGCGGTCTTTCAATTTCCGCGCGCTGTTTGGTCAGTTGATCCGGCACGTTTCTGATTGGCTAAGCTGTTTGATATCAAAGTTGACAGGGTTAATGGTTCAACCCAGCTTGTGAGCCCACTCTGACTAATTTTTGATCTTTGAAAGGCATTTAGTGCACTGATTAAAACGTGATAGTCTTTTATGACACTCAAATTTTCACCTACCAGTAATTTTCAAGTGTTCGATGGCTCACATCACCTCTAATATTTCGATTTTTATAATTAAAAAATTCTTTTCTAAAGATTTTAGAAAACTTCAGGCGTACGCAATCGCCATCTAAACTCCTTCTTTACTGTAGTGATCTAGAGTTGCCACTAGTCCGTAAGTTGATGCGTCGCAGATCACGCGGGTCTCCAAATTGTGTTCAAAGTAGTTTTTTTTGTAACATCAGAAACTAATTTTGTTATAATTTGAAAGCAATAGAGTGGTCAGTTTTCTGTTTAGTTGTTGAAGTGTTCTTTTTTGTTTAACTGTGTTTTTAGGAGTAGTCGTAATTCGAGCTAAAGGTGGGACATATCTGGTGAGGCGGGGGATTGATCCCATAAAAAAACTTAGCTGTTCTAATGTTTTTCTTTTGCTTCTGTTTTTTTACAAAGAGGCCTTGTACCTTCACTGTTCCCTTACCATTCTACCTGCTTATATAAAAACATACAAAGTCTATTGAGACGGCAAAGTTTATTCATCTAGTTTCTGTAGGACTGTTTTCATTGTTTTTATATGTAGCTCCTTCGACGCTTTTGTTCTTAAATATTTTGTCCTAATAAAGCATATATAAGAACGTGTTTCTACATTTAAGAGTTATCAAGTCCATTGCATTCTGGACTTCCGCTGGCATGTCGGTCAATCCGGGAAACTTCGTTTGAAATTGATACGTTCCTGTGGCGTTGCCTCCGATGAGCCTGAAAGCGCATTGTTTTTTGTTATCTGATCCAACGGTATTCGTGATTAGGCATAAAAAAATCAAGACTCGAGAAAAGTGTTCGTTTTTTGTTTCATTTTTTGTATTTGTGCGATGTTGTCCAGTAGCATTTCTGTTTCGGGTAATCGATATTTGTTTTTACTTTGAGGTTGTTAGTTTTCTTGGTAAAATCACGATTGGGCTGATGAGTTATTTGTCTGAGCTTTCTAAATTGCGTTTGATTAACTCTTTTCTGACTGGTTCATGCAAGTAAACCGGAATTTGTCTTAATTGGGATAGCAAGATTAACAAACTCCGTTATCTTTAAGTGGGTTTTTGCTTCATTAATTCTTCTGCACATTTGTTGGAAAAGATTTTTAACACACTCTTTGATTTCTGGGTCTGAGTTTTCGTTATCGTGAAGACGGAAGTTCTGGTCTTCTTTGGGAATGTCCTGAATTATCTATATCCCAAATTGTCGCAGAAGGTTAATTCCGATAAGATTTGCCTTTTGATTATTGACGATAACGAATGGAGCTGACTGAATAGTTCATCCACTGGATTCTAGTGCAATAAATAGTCTTCATTTGATCAGTATTTGTTATTGAGAATGACATCTGACTACATGAATTCGCAAGGGCCATTGTTTTTTTTTCTGTTTTCCTTTTCGTTTTTATTAATTGGCCGTATTTTTGCTCAATCTTTTGTTTCAAATACTTCTTCTACAGCAATTACTGTGAAATTATCCCAAAGGATACTTTTCCATCCATTCAATGAAATTAAATTGGCGAATGCAACTGGATCATTCTCTTCTGCCTGTGTAATTTCCTCTTCGTTTTCTGTTGGTTCCGCTTGTAGATTGTCGTAGGTTTCGAGCTCACGGTTGTAGGTGGTTTCGAACCCAATTGTCTTCCACGCTTAATGTGTTTGTTCTCTTTGGAAAATTTTGTCGTCCTATTTGTCCTCGTGCCCGCTGATTAGTCTGATAGTTAACTGTTGATGTTGATGGATGGGTTTGTTTTCATTGCTCAATTGTGCTTGATTCCTTTTTCGCATCGAGATGCGTATTCGTACACATCTTGTGGGGTGCGTGTTTCCATTAATAACTCTTCAGCTATCTTTTCGCTGTTCATAAGTGCAGCATTATGTCTTTTACCCATTTGTCTTCCCTATCGCCGCTATTTTCACTAAATCCGCTTTAAATTTTTTGTTTGCGTACATTAATTGTATCTGTTGAAGGCAACTATGCGTAAACTTTAAAAATATCTTTACAACTCTCTTTTCTTGATTGCGCACCTCTCGTTTTTTTTTACTTCAGTAACCCCTGGACTTTTCACTTCGTATATGGGTTCAGTCGTGTCTGTTAACGTCGGTTTATCGCAAAGCAAATCCGTACTTCAATGATATTTTTAGCAAATACAGCCATTTCTGTCGCCACAATGAACTATTAATATGAGTATTTTTTGCTGTAGTTGTAGCCGGTTCGCTGCTCCATGGCATACATCGATGTGTGAGAAATTTCTAAAATTGACTTCGAACGGTTTGGCAAATGAAATGACGTAATAAACGTGTTAAAAGACAACTGGTTATTGTTAAACAATTTATTTAACCTCTGAAAGCTCTCACTTTCCTTATACACTAATCCTTCAAAAACAAGGTCATACGACCAGTATACATAAACATCATTTGCTATGGTCTTGCCATTTCGCCCGGATGACAGTGAAATTTTTGCGAAAACTGTTGCAAATATTAATCAATTGAAACCTTTTTCCTTAAATTTTGCTCTCTCTTCCTTCAACCCTTTACCCTTCCAAGTTTTCCAAAATTCTATAAGGACGAAGTGAAATATCTCCCCCTAAATCAAAACAGCGAGGAGATCGCTTGGTTAAACATAATAACCAATCATATTTGAGTATTGTACAAGCAGGCCTTAGTGAGTGAGTACCACTATACAGGCAGATTACTTATGTGGGAGATATTGTAGCTTTTTTCCGTGTAAAAGGTAATTTAAAATGTCAATGATGATGGCAAAATGTAATGTTTTTTTTTTGGTAATTTGGCTAAAAAGAGGACTATTTACTCCATATTTAAATTGGTTTCCAAAATTGAGCTCGAATATTGGGAAAAGTGATGGAAAAGAGCCCTCCTTTGATTTTCAATTTTGCATCCAAATTTTGCTTAAGACTTTTTCACATTTTGCTTTAGATAATTGGTTTCCAGACATCGTGGTGGGTCAACCGCAAATTCCCAGTAGACATGGCAGGATTTGCAATAAACGTGGGCTTCCTGCACGACAATAACTACCCTAAGTTTGATGCCATAACCCCGGTAAGATTATTCTAGGAGTTGATTCAAATTGGCATCCTTCCCTTCGGAGTGGATTATGGGGAAGGGTGCTGAGTTGGTCCCTAAAGTATGAGGTAAAATTGTGATAGAGGGGTCCTAAGAAAGTAACAGGGTCCCTTAATGTAAACACAGTGCGACAACATTACGGGGCCAAACTGTGCACTGGATAGGAGCACAATTTTGTGTCTGTATGTTCCTGGATTCCAGAGACAAGTATTTAAAGAGTTTTGAAAACGATAGAGCGGCGACCATAGATTTTTGTAAGTGCTATGTTTGCTTATAGTTCCGTGGTTTGGGCCCTTCTGTCACAGTTTGTTTTTACCAGGACCATTCTATCAACCTTGATAAATTTGGCACCTCAACACCACACATACATTGACAAATAGAGCAAAATGACCATTCCTACTAATTTTTAATTTAATGACGTTCGTA